TGCTGTGAAAGGAACGACCAGCTGTGGTGAGTGGTGCAGTGAGGTTATGGTTGGCATTTGTCACGTGCATTTCAGCGCTGCTGTTGTGGTTATGTGTAGGATGTGCCATGTGCATGTGAGTGCAGTGCTTTGTGGCTTGCAGGCTCGGCTTGCAGGCTCAGCTGTGCTCAGCATCCCAGGGAGCAGCCTGCTATAACAGTGCAGTGCTTTGTGGCTTGCAGGCTCGGCTGTGCTCAGCAACCCAGGGAGCAGCCTGCTATAACCTTCTGGCTGGGTGTACCTGGTTGGGTTGTTCCTAGCAGGGTGTACCTGGCTGGGTGTACCTGGTTGGGTCTACCTGGCTGGGTATACTCTCCGGCAACTGTAGCTGTAACTCTCTGCTTATGCTTCTCTCTGCTGCTCTTGCTTCTCTTGCAGTGCATGCTTCCTGTGCGCCCTTCCATCAACTTCCTGTATCACTCCAGTGGCATGCACGACAACTCAGAGGGCAGCTTGTTACAATGTTGTAACACAAATTGTGTGCCCTAGCAACTCTACAGTAGTTGTAACAACTTGATGAGAGTACCGTAAACACCCGGATATATGACCCTAGGGTCTTTTTTCGTATACTAATGAAAAATGGGGGTGAGTCTATTAAAGAAACCTGGAAATAAATTTCCCGTGACCTATCTCGTTTTATCAAGGATTCACATTTTTTAAGTGTGTATCAGACTAAAAATCGAAATGCTTTCATGCTATCACGGATGTTGATAGATTCATACCTCTGCGAGCGCGAATTCCACCTCGGCAGCTGTGTGGCTGGATTTGGCCACCCTGGAGCTCAACTCAAGGTTGCAGCCAATGGGAAGTACAGGTGGCGGCAGCATTTACAACTCACGAGTAAAGATTCCAGAGGAATCGACGAACTCCCTTCTTCAATGCCGTCAAGATGATATGCAACGCTGGCATGCAGACTTGATAGGCATCGACAGCCAGGGTCTCTACTCTGCCGCATCGATGGCCGAGAGAAAAGATTCCTGGTCTTGTGGCGGAGCGCAACGGAAGTGGTCCCATGCGCGGGGAGGGAGACGTGCTTCCCTCTCAGGGCTCTCTTGCCTTGTACGTGGTGGCCTTTTGGAGGGAACGTGAGTAGAGTCACGCACAACTCGCTCGCCATCTCTCATGGGCCTTGCTGGCTAATTCCTGCAATCCAGCAAGCCAACTTCACTTAGGCACCTCGTTCTTTTGCTCTCAAAGCTTTCGCCTACTGCGACGTGTACGCCAGTATTCTCGACAGGATTTATGGCTGCCATGTCGTGGGATCCTGGCGTGAATTCGCGACAGTAGAATCCAAGTTAGCACTGCCCCCAATGCGATCGTTCTAGTGACTATGCGCGGGCTAGAGGCCATTATAGAAGGATGTAATGCACGCTCACATACGCTTGATCGATTGGGCTTCTGCCGCACCAGCGCCTCCCGCTCCTCCCGCACCACCGGCGCCACCAGCGCCACCTGCCCTGCCAGCGCCGCTGGCGCCTCCCAGCCTCCCTCTGGCCTTGCGTTTTCGTGACCAAGACTGGCCCGATCCTTGCGCGAATTTCGATGGCGTCTTCGAAGAGGGCGATGCTGAGGATGCGACGAGCGTGGATGCTGCAGATAACTCCGACGATGCTGAATACCTGTCTAATGATGGCGAGCCCCAGATTCCTGTCCCCTCTTACCCGACTGGATGCAGATTGCACGAGGACTGGGAGGTTAACCACGACGCATTCCCCCCCTCGACAAGGTCCCGCACCTCAAAAGGTCTTCGACGCGCGAGAACCGTGAAGGAGAAGCTGGCGTGGTTGGATTACATGGATGCTAACCAGCTCTCCACTCGTGCCACCGCTAAGAAGGCGGGTGTCCAGCCTGTTTGCGTGCGCAGGTGGATCAAGGACCGCCCGCGATTGAGAAAGCTGCAACCTGCCGTAAGCGGCTCCATGGTGGCGGGCGACAGTCGTTGTACCCAGACATGGAAATCTGGGTGTACCATAAGCTGTTGCATCACCGGACCCGCGGGCTTCCTGTGTCGATCAAGAACCACTTGTCAGTCGACTGGAAGGCGTCTTCTCAATGGACTCAGCGCATGCGTGCACGGTGGGGTCTGTCAGTAAGGGTAAAGACTAAGATTGGCCAGCGCCTTGTTGGCGGTAAGTTCCTTTCGAATTCGGCATGTCTCCTTGGTTCACTATTGCAAGTGTTTTCCATGCTACTGGTGCATCTCTCGCTTCTGTCCTCGTGCAACCGACTCACGCATAGTTGTCTTCTGTCCTTCCCGTGCCTAGCAGATATGAAGCCGAAGGCTCAGAGTTTTTGGCGTTTCTACCGCAAGCAGATATTCAACAAGGCCATCCCCAACACCCTCATGATCAACGCCGACCAGACGGCGTTATTCCTGGAAATGCCCACCAAGCGCACGGTCGAGCACAGGGGCATCAAAACCGTGCACGTCAGGACCGCCGGTTACGAAAAAGAGCGCATAAATGTCATGCTGGCGTGCACGGTGGCGGGCCATAAGCTACCCACGTACGTCGATTTCAAGTGCGTCCGCCCGCCTTCCATCCCAGTCCCACCAAGTAAGTAGACGCGTTCTTTTAATTGTTGGCGGGGTCGACCAGTTGGTGTTGATTCAGAGACAGTACAATGCGTCCTAATTGCCCCGTATTTTTTGTCGTCGTTTGCGCAGATGTCATCATCCGTGCTCAGCCAAAAGGCTGGATGAACGAGAAAATGGTGCAGGATTGGATAACTTGAGTCCTTGCACCGCATGTCGCTCCCCAGCCAGGGAGGCCACGACGCCAGCCTGATTGTGCTCGACTCGTTTCGCGGGCACCTGACAGAGGGAGTCAAGCAAACAATGCGCCTCTTCAAGATGAATTCCGCCATCATTACAGCCGGGTGCACCTCGTTTCTACAGCCTCTCGACGTATGCGTGTTCAAGTCCTTCAAGGCTTCAGTGCGGGCAGAGTATGAGGATTTGTTCGCCATTGTCGGCATCAATAATTTCACCAGAACTGGTGAGCATGCGCAAATTCATATGCTAAGAGTCTAGCACCACTTATGAGATGCCTACTCTTGCTGTGTTAACAACTTGGACTAACGCACTCCTCTTTATTCCCCTCTCCCTCACCGCAGGAAACCTGAAGAAACCTCCCCCAGGTTATTCGCTGGGTGGGAAGAGCTTGGGCGAAGGTGCCAGTGGCGCTTATCCAGAAAGCGTTCAAAGTCACCGGCATCTCCAACGCACTGGATGGGGCATCTCAAGGAAAAGGCCCCCAATGAAGTCGACGTCAATGACGACGTCGGCGCGGCCGGGGCGGATGGCGACAACACCGCCGTCCCATAGAATGCTGACGAGGATGAAGACGATGCTGCCTATGACGACGACGACGAGCCGCTGCTAGAACCACCGGAGGCTGAAGACAATCTGGGCTGTGACTCGTTTGAAGACCTGGCGGAAGAGCCACCAGCGGCAGCCGCTGAACCGGAGCCTGCTGCTGACGCATTCGAGCCACTGCCTCGCATGACGCTGGCACAACGCATCGCTACCATGGAGGAAGATTATGGCGATTCGACTGCTGAAGATACTGACAGCGACCAGGAGGGAAAAGAACCTAAGCCTCTAACATGTGGCAAGTACGAGTGGGCATTGAAGATGCTGTAGGCGTAGAGGGCACCTTGACATTATGTACCCCAGTGTGTGTAGTGTGTGTGGTAGTGCAGGACTCTCGTGTTTTAGGTGCTGACTGGTTCCCTAACTGTATGTGATATGTACCAGTAGGAAGTTGTGGTTGTAGTGCACAATTGTAGGCTTGAATTCATATGAAAAACCAAGTAGGGGGGTCCAAACCCATCTACAGCCTTTAGGGGGGGGGCTTGTTAGTCGATGACCGTAATAAAAGACCTACCTGCCAACAGCACCCTATGGGTTCTCAATAAAAGACGATCGTATATCCGAGCGTTTACGGTATGTTCAAAAGACGTTGTTGAGGCCATGTTATAAGCATAGCGATATTGGTACCATAAGTGTGCTTTGTTTGTGATGTAGGGTTTAGTGCACAACACATATATCGGAATCAATATATGTGTGTTTATCGGTTGACATCCATCTATAAGGTAAAATGCTAGATGGACTCATAACTGATTGAAATAACTACTGTGAAGTCCCAACGCACAGTCCGTTATACTTTACAAGTTAATAAACAACACGAAAATCGGCCTGCTGGGCAGGGCCTACTTTTGGATTTTTATTACTCTGAAATTAGGGAGTGGCTTTTTTCATCACTCTGAAAATCAGAGTGCTCCCCAATGGTTTCTCTGATTTTCCAGGGTTTTTTAAATTTCTCAAAATTTTACACTGACAATGCAGAGGGGTTTTTGAAGTAACTCTCTGCAGCAGGGTTCTCTAGGCGTGCGGGGCAAGATCGGGAGATGGGGGGTGGAACAAAGGGGAAGTATCGAGAGATTGTATGGGCAGGGGGAATCGAGATTGCAGGGGCAGGGGGAATCGAGCTGGCAGGAGAGGTCGACACAGCAGGGGCGGGGACGGGAAATCTTGCACTCCCCCTGCAAGCACACGTTGGCCCCAAATACGGTGAAGGGCCCAACCAAGACGACCTCACACAGCCAACAGCGCATCTCGCTTGACCCCTAGATTTGGCGAAGGGCCAATCAGCGCCCTCACGCACCTTCCAGCACAATTGGCGAGGTGATTTTGGTGAAGGGACACTTACCGTAGCACCCTCACACAACCTCGAGCACAGACCAGACAATGATTTCGCCGGTGCGTGTGACATGACGCGTTCTGCGGGACACATGGGCACAGCTAGGTATAGGGGACAGGAACATAATCACATATATACAGTACCCCCTATACACGGACCATCAGAGTGGTACAAGGTTTACTCGGATAAAATCAGAGTAAAAAAAATAATTTATTTTTTTACTCAGGGCCCCTAGAGTAGTTTTCAAAAACGACTCGGATTTTCAGAGAAACAGAGTAAATTACTCTGATAAAATAGGCCCTGCTGCTGGGTCAAAACACATTCCGTTACACATCTGTCTACAGTGTAGACTCTACACTGTATGGTATGGTCTGTAACAAGTTGACTAGGAAAATGGCTTCCTTGCTCATCGTGCGATCAAAGGCCTCTGACGGCTTACTGGCAGGAGCATGCCATGCCGGGTGGCAAACTTGATAGTGATGTCAACAAGATAATGGTTACCTCACATCTGATACGTCTACAGTGTATGGTCTATAACAACTCGGAAAATGGCTTCCTTGCTCATCATTCGATTGAAGGCCTCTGACGCCTGGCTGGCGGGAAACACCTCGTTGATTGGCCGAATGCCGTGCCGGGCGGCGAACTGAGACATGGTGGGAGGGCACGTTCAATGGATGAGCTTTGGGAGACGACTTGATGATAGATAGTTGTGATAATAATTCGTCTGAGACGGTTCAAAACAGACTTGATGGTAGTTGTGGATTGGGAGGAGATGACAGGGAAAGGATGGGGAGAAATCACGGGATGGAAGAGGCAGCAAAGTAGGCTGTCTCTCATTGCAGACTGCCAAGAATGCAGAAAGAGGAGAGAATTCCCTTCCTCCCCCCTCTCCCCCCCTCCCCATTGCAACTACACGCGCCGTGAGAGCACCTTCAGCGCATCTTTGGGCCGGCTGGATGTGAACCCTGTCACGGTCACCTCCCTCCTCCCGGCGCTCAGAAACCCCGGATCCACAGCCGTGGTGCAATCAACACGACCCCGACTCCCAGCACCAGCAACACGTGCTACCACCTGTTAGTTACAGACAGCCACGCCCACTGCAACCCCACTCACCTTGAGAGTAACCTCGGCGTCACTGGGCTGCCCCGATGGGAATCCCATCACCCTCCTCCTGCCGGCGATCAGAAACCCTGGATCCACTCCCATGGTGCAGTCGTCATAACCCCCCACACCCAGCACCACCCATTGCAACCCCACTCACGTTGAGAGTATCCTCGGCGTCACTGGGCTGCCCCGATGGGAATCCCATTACCCTCCTCCTGCCGGCGATCAGAAACCCCGGATCCACTCCCATGGTGCAGTCGTCGTGGCCTCCCACGCCCAGCACAATAAGGGTGCCATTCTTGGCAAGGGTGGGGAGGACGGTGGTCATAGCACTGGCACTGGGAGCAGTGGCTAAGAGCACCTTGATTCCGCCTAGCGCCTGTTAAAGAAGAGCAGGGGGGAGGGAGGAAGGAGAAAGGGCGGTTGGGAGAAACCCCGGACCCACAGCCATGGTGCAGTCGTCGTGGCCGCCCACTCCCAGCACAATAAGGGTGCCATTCTTGGCAAGGGTGGGGAGGACGGTTGTCATGTCATGGCACTGGCACTGGGTACGCTGGCTATTTTTGAGGCGCCTCAAAAATAGACCGCCCACGCCCAGCACAATCAGAGTGCTGTTCTTGGCAAGGGTGGGGAGGACGGTTGTCATGGCACTGGCGCTGGGTGCGGCGGCTAGAAGTACTTTGATTCCGCCAAGTGCCTGCTAGGGGAAAGAGGGGGAGAAGAGGGGGATGGGACAGTTAGAGTGCCGTTCTTGGCAAGAGTGGGGAGGACGGTGGTCATGGCACTGGCGCTGGGAGCAGTGGCTAGAAGCACCTTGATTCCGCCTAGCGCCTGTTAAAGAGGGGCAGGAAAGAGGGGAGAAGAGGGGAGAAGAGGGGAGAAGAGGGGAGAAGAGGGGAGAAGAGGGGAGAAGAGGGGAGAAGAGGGGAGAAGAGGGGAGAAGAGGGGAGAAGATGGGAGAAGAGGGGAGAAGAGGGGAGAAGAGGGGAGAAGAGGGCAGAAGAGGGCAGAAGAGGGGAGAAGAGGGGAGAAGAGGGCAGAAGAGGGCAGAAGAGGGCAGAAGAGGGGAGAAGGATCGGGTAACAAGGGGGAAGGGGTTTAGGGAACCGCGGATCCACTCCCCTGGTGTAGTCATCGTGCCCCCCCACGCCCACCACAACCAGAGTGCCAGTACTGGCGAGGGTGGGGAGGACAATAAGGGTGCCGTTTTTAGAGAGAGTGGGAGGGAAGGCTGTCATGGCACTGAAGGCCAAGGTGCAGTAGCAAGCAGCACCTTGATTCCGCCAAGGGCCAAGGAGGAAGGGGGGGAGGGGAAGGCGGGGCATGAGACAGTAAGAGTGCCGTTCTTGGCGAGGGTGGGGGGGACGGCTGTCATGGTACTGGCGCTGGGTGCAGTCACAAGGAGGACATTGACTCCTCTAAGGGCCTGGGACGAGGGAGGAAGGAGGAGGAGGACAAGGAGGAGGAGGAGGAGGAGGAGGAGGAGGAGGAGGAGGAGGAGGAGGAGGAGGAGGAGGAGGAGGAGGAGGAGGAGGAGGAGGAGGAGGAGGAGGAGGAGGAGGAGGAGGAGGAGGAGGGGGAGGAGGAGGAGGGGGAGGGGGGGTGGCACTATGAAGGCGAGACGAGTGCTGAAAGCCTTCAGTGGTGTCACAGAAGGCTTCAGAGCTCGTATTGGCTTCAGGCTCCCAGCCTTCAGTTGGAGCTGAAAGCCTTCATTTTAAGCTCCCAGCCTCCAACTGTTGCTTTGGCGTGACTCAAATTCTCCAGATAGTGTCCCACCTGCTAGTGTCCCACCTGCTAGTGTCCCACCTGCTAGTGTCCCACCTGCTAGTGTCCCACCTGCTAGTGTCCCGCCTGCTAGTGTCCCACCTGCTAGTGTCCCGCCTGCTAGTGTCCCACCTGCTAGTGTCCCACCTGCTAGTGTCCCACCTGCTAGTGTCCCACCTGAACTTTCTCCTGAAAGCCCTCCTCCGTGGTGTCAATGTAGTGGTGTGCTCCCAGCCTCCTCGCCTCTGCCTCTTTGCTCTTGCCACGGGAAAAGGCCACCACCTCATACCCCATCTTGCTGGCATACTGTGGGAGAATCATGGGGAGGTGAAGTGAAGGGTGGGAGTGGGAGGGGGAAAGGGGAGTTGGGGAAGATGGCACAAGAGAAAGTGCCACCACCTCGTACCCCGTCTCGTTGGCGCACTGGACTGACAATGAGGAGGGGCGAGGAGGTGTGGTGAGACGAAGGGCAGGCACTATGCTGTGCTCCAGCCTCCCAGCCTCATTGCCTCCGCCTCTTTGCTCTTGCTCCTGCTGGCGTACTGTGGGATGGTAGGGAGAGGAGGGAAGTTTTGAGGCGCCTCAAAACTTTGCTCCTGCTGGCGTACTGTGGGATGGTAGGGAGAGGAGGGAGAGGAGGGAGAGGAGGGAGAGGAGGGAGAGGAGGGAGAGGAGGGAGAGGGGGGAAGAAACAATGACAAAACAAGGTTAGATGGTTCAAGAGAGAAAGGCGCCACCTCGTGCTGTGAGATAGTGAGGAGGGAGAAAGTGTTGGGAGATGGGAGAGGGGGGGGGGGAGGGGGGGGAGGGGGGGTGGGTGGGGGGTGGGTGGGGGGGGTTGGGGGGTGGGTGGGGGGGGGTTGGGGGGGTGGGAAGGGACGGGTGGCTGAAGAAGGTACTCCACCCACCTCATAGCTCATCTTGCTCACCTCATAGCTCATCTTGCTCACCTCATAGCTCATCTTGCTCACCTCATCCACAGCTACTGTGTGTGATAATAACGAGGGACGGTCACAGAGGTTAAAGACTCATTCCCCGTACTGGCTGTGTGTTGAGTGAGACCGAGGGACAGAGGGACAGAGGCTCCAAATGCAGGACACAACAACGACAAGAATGTATGTCGAGTGCGTGAGAGTGTGTGCTTTTCAACTTTGTACATATATGTGCATGCATGTGTGAGTGCGCGGTGATGGCGCTTAAACCTCACTTGAACAACATGAGGTTTCACCTGAACATCTGTAGACCCACCTGAACGGCAAGGTGGCCCAGTCCCCCCAGCCCCTGCACGCCAACAGTGGCACCTGAAAAAGCACCTGAATGCCGCAGACTGTTGAACACAGTCAAGCCTGGGGAGAAAAAGGGGGGAAAGGAGGAAAGGGGGAAAAGGGGAAAAGGGGGAAAGGAAAGGGGGGAAAGGGGGGAAAGGTGGGAAAGGGGGGAAAGGGGGGAAAGGGGGGAAAGGGGGGAAAGGGGGGAAATGGGGGAAAGGGGGGAAATGGGGGAAAGGGGGGAAATGGGGGAAAGGGAAGGGGGAAAGGGGGAAAGTAGGTAAGGAAAGGCGGGATTGGGGGAGTGAGGCGGAAGAGGGCCAGGGAGACTCTTCCCCCCTGCGTCTGATGGGCATCAAGAGGGGTGAGGTGTTTAAGAGGACGAGGTGTTTAAGAGGACGAGGTGTTTAAGAGGACGAGGTGTTTAAGAGGACGAGGTGTTTAAGAGGACGAGGTGTTTAAGAGGACGAGGTTTTTAAGAGGAGTGAGATGTTAAAAGGAGGGTGGGAGACGAGAGAGGAGCGAAGGTGGAAACGGGAAGATTCAGGGCAGAGGAAGAGAGAGAGAGGCAGGAGAAGGAGGATGGCTGAAGCCACATGAAGGGAAAGACAGGGGAAGGGGGAAGGGGGAAGGGGGAAGGGGGAAGGGGAAGGGGGAAGGGGAAGGGGGTAGGGGGAGTGCGGAGCATGGTAGGTGAGTCATGGAGGGTTCAGCAGTGAGAGCTGGGGAAAGCTTTTGAGCACGGCTTTTGAGCACGGCTTTTGAGAACGGCTTTTGAGCACGGCTTTTGAGAACGGCTTTTGAGCACGGCTTTTGAGCACGGCTTTTGAGAACGGCTTTTGAGCACGGCTTTTGAGCACGGCTTTTGAGCACGGCTTTTGAGCACGGCTTTTGAGTCGACTCAACAGGAAACGCGGAGTACGGTAGGTGAGTCATGGAGGGCTCGGCCGTGAGAGAGGGGGGAAGGAGGATGGTTGGAGAGGGAAGAATGGGGGAGAGGGGAAAGAGGAGCAGCGGGGAGGGGAGGGGAGGGCGAGGGGAGGAGGGGAGGAGGGGAGGAGGAGAGGAGGGGAGGAGGGGAGGAGGAGGGGAGGGCATAACCTACAAACCTGCACACATCAGCGGCGCAGCTTCCTGGAAAGTGAGCTCGTCCGGAATTCTCGCCAGCGCGTTCGCGGCGACAGTAACATACGGCTGGTAACCACCGTCGAAATGCGCGCCGGTAATCTCGAGGTTGTCGCAGCAGATCAGATCTCCCTCCCTGCACGAGCGACACGTGGCACAGCACCCGCCGAACCAACCTAACCCTACGCGATCCCCAACACTCCACTGCGGCTTCGCTCCGCTTCCTACGGCGCCTGTTGCGGCGCCTTCTACGGCGGGTCCTACGGCGTCAACCACGCCTGCTATTTCGTGTCCCGGAACACGCGGGAACGTGGTTCCCAGGAGCCCGAATTTCGTAACCACGTCGCCGTGGCACACGCCGCACGCGTGAACCTTCACGCGAACCTTCCCCGCCGGCGGCGCCTCGACGGGCTTCTCCACCGTAACGAACGGCGCGCCTGGCGCCGTGAGTTGCGGGGCATTGAAAGTTACCGCCGACATTCCGCGATTCGGATTTCGAGTCAGGCTTTATCGAGGTGTTTCTACGTCGCGATTACAGTTCCGAGGACGGAAGGGGATGAGATGAGATGGCGTGGGTGCCACCGCAAGTGGCGGGCTAAGGAAGCTATCCTTTTGGGGTGAGGGTTGTTTCCCTTCAAATGAGCTAAATTCGATATGCTCATACGGCACTGTAACGACACACAGTTGTTATCAATTGCTCCAACATTTGCGCCGTCCCAAACATTGTACAGAGCCACTCAATAGCGCAGCATTGGGTCTCTCGCTGCGGGCATCCACCTCGAATCTCGGAACTGTTTTCCTCCATGGCATTCTTGCCAAGTCAGCACACACAATACACTTTTTCTTACTTCTTTTTACCTTGTTTTTCACGTGGCTTAAATGTGTAAACAGGAAATGATAAAACACGGGCAAACGGGACGTTGAAGGGGAAAACTCACAGTAAACACAGACACTTGGTTACAACTTATCGCTCATGCACTGGATAAGTTGCCTGCGCGACGGCCAGTCTCTGAAACTCGCGATTGTCGAAACTCAAGCTGGCTTTTCGTTTTCGTTCAGATTACAGCCAATCAGGTTCAGTGTGAACGGGAGTCATGCTGAGAACCTGGTAGGTCGGATTGCAATTTGAACTGTTTTGGGTGAAACAATCAAGGAGAACAGGTGTAGCAGTTTCTTCCGCAAGTCACGCTGCGTAGTCAACATCGCTGCCACATCATTCGAGCCGCATATGACTTCAATTTCCAAGTCGACATTTCTCCACCCACGCGATTCGACGTTTCTTTGCCCTTCCCCCCCTCTACCCTTTTATCCAAATCAAGCATGGTTCTTGCACCTGTTTTTCCCTAGGCGCAACTTTGCCCTAGGCGATTCGCAACTTTCTTGGTTTTGGCGGGAGCTGCAACCAGCAATAGCATGAATTCGGCTTCCCAGCTCACCGTGATTCGGACATCCTCTACTTTTCTGTCTTGTTCCAACCCGGATTGTTATTACAATAGCCTCGCTACTACTACCTGTAGCACCACTTCTTACTAAAAAAAAAAAAAAAAAAAAAAAAAAAAAAAAAAAAAAGTAGACACACGTCCAGAAATCTTTTCGGAATAGCACATCCCATCTCCTCCAGTCACTCACAACCATAGAGGCTCAGGAGGAACCGCAGGGCCACGCGTAGTAGACGCCCAATAACACCGTAGCACAGAGATTCTGCTCCTGTCTAACAAAACGAAGTGCTCTCTTTTCAAAGGCTCTCTACCTGTAATCCATCTACAACTGCTGCGTCGCTCCGTCTTGACTACGCGATGCTGATTCTCACCGCCGCAACAATCATCACCATCGCGCTGGCGATTCTCGGTCGGGGAGCCTCTGCGGGTGACGTGGAACTCCACCAGGCCTTTGGTAAGACTACTTGCAACAAGCCTTACTGGTACTCTTACTACGAGCCAAATAATCGTGTAATCAGGAGTTGCGGCGTCCTTCCTCACCCTGGCGCTTCTCGGCCGGGGAGCCGCTGCGAGTGACGTGGCCTTGCTACTCACTATAAAGCCATGATTACCTGACGTATGCAACCAGCGTCCATGTAACCATGTAACCACGTAGCCATCGATGTATGAGTTGCTGTGTCCTTCCTCTGCTCGCAGTTGGGCCTCTGGCGGACTTGCCGCGCACGGCTCTCTGCGTGCCAGAAGGGGCCAAACGCCGGAGAGCTGAACAGGCTGAGCTGAGTGTTGAGTCCTACTGTCGTGAGCCCATGAAGCCATCGAACCTTGATTCCGCGCCATGATAGTATCAACAGTCGCCATTTCCTTTCCCCTTCCTTCCCCTACTACCAACAGTCGCCTCCCCTGGCGGATCTAGCGCATCATGATGAGTTCAGCGTGCCGGCTGGGGCCAACTGGGCGCCGAACACTTGAGAGTTGGGTGGTCCATGGAACACTTGACTTTTCTTCCCTCTCACCCACAGTCGCGCCCCTGGCGGACTTGGCGGAGGAGTTCAACGTGCCATCGGGGGCCAACTGGGCAGCGAACAGCTGAGCGCATGATGTGGTAACCACGTAACAATACTGTTGCGTTCTTCCCCACCCACAGTGGGCCCCCTGGCGGACCTAGCGGAGGAGTTGAGAGTGCCATCCGGGGCCAACTGGGCAGCTAACGCTCCGTGCTCCGAGGATGGGCAGGGGTCGGGCTTTAAGGGCGTCACGTGTGACACGGAGGGAAATCCTATTGCGCTGTGAGTGCCTGCTTATGTTGGATTGGCTTGTTGCACGCATGATCGCATGGTTGCTTCATTGCTCCAAGGATGGGCAGGGACCGAGAGTCCGAAAAGAAAAAAAAAAACCTAAAAAAAAAACCATTTGCATGAAGTTGCGAGATCTTCTTCCTTTCCCTGCCGGCGCAGTACCCGTCCCGATCAGCACTCCTGCCTACAGGGTGCACCATGTGTTCTTGAGTCAACTCAAAACCATGTGTTTTTTTAGTCAACTCAAAACCATCTGTTTTTTTAGTCAACTCAAAACCATCTGTTTTTTTAGTCAACTCAAAAGTCACCTACAGGGTGCACCATGTGCTCTTGATTCGTCTCAAAACCATCTGTATTTTTAGAATTCTCACGAAACACTTGCGAGATCTGCTCCCTTTCCCTGCCTGCGCAGTACCGTCCCGATCAACACTCCTGTATACAGGGCCTACCATCTGCCCCACTCCATCACTAAGCTGACCACCTTGAGCTCGCTGTAAGGCATCAATCGGACTCTACTCAGGGAGTCACTAGAGCTTGCACGTTCATGCTTCCATGATGCTATTTTGATACATGTTTAAAGAGTGAATCCCTCCTACGCAGTTTCGTCCGCAGCACTTTGCCAAGGCGAATTCTGAGTAGCATGGATGATTTTGAGTCGACTCAAGAGTAGCATGGATGAGGTGACTTCCTCATCACTCATCACTCAAAAGCAGTCACCTCCGTTTGACTCGACTCAAAATTCATTTTCTTGAGCAGTTTCCTCCTCAGCTCTCTGCCGCGAGGCAACTGTGTAGAAGAAAAACTGGTCTGGTATGCTGCAGAGCTTTACCTCGCCTTGACCACATACTCAAAGACGACTAGGCAGGGGAACTTCTCGGAAACGGACTCAACTTGCAACAGAGGCTCTGTTTGCTACAGAGGCTCATGGACAGACCCTATGCTTAGAAACCATCAACTCTGTACTTTTGAATGGGCTCAGAACTTTTGAATGTGTATGCTACGGAATTTGGCTTGTCTTGCCTGTTGACAGTGTGTGCGCCCACCTCAGGTGGTTAAAGAGCATCGGAAGCCGGGGGTGCTTGGACGGGCTTTTCAGCCCAGTCTTAACAGGCTGTGCTGACTCCCACCCTCAGGTCGTTAGAGAGCATGGGAATCAGGGGGCGGCTGGACGTGTTTGCAAGGCCGCTCAAGTGCCTGCCCAGCATTCAGCACCTGTAAGTGCCGGCCCAGCATTCAGCACCTATAAGTGCAAGGGAAAGAAGTTCATTATGCCCATCCATATATGCAGTGAACAAGTTAAGGGTTCACCTTCCCCTATATGCATAGATTTCGCAGTCTCCCTCGTATGCACGATTGCTACTGTTTTTCGCAGAGCTGCAGATTGAAACGTTTGAGGCAATCCCTTTGCGTGCAGATCTCTCAAATCCAACTTTCTTCATGGGACCATCCCCACGTATATCATCGGTGGGAAAAACATAACAGCTCTGTAAGCTTCCCATGAGACTCCAAATCTTTTGAGTCGACTCAAAAGAAAAGCATAACAGCTCTGTAAGCTTCCCATGAGACCCCAATGGGACAATGGGAGAATGTGACACAGCGCTGTAAGTTTCTCCTCAACGAGAATGTGACCCCAATGGGCAATGGGACAATGGGACACAGTACTGCACGTTTCTCTCCCATTTGCTCCTTTCACGCAGGCCCCTATTTCCAATCGGTTAACGCTCTCTGCTGCCTCTACTTCAAGCACACTCGTCTATTTGACCCATTATAGAAAGCCTCGGTCCCATGTTTTCTGTTATTGGATGCAGGGACCTTTCCGGGAACAAGCTCACTGGGTGGATCCGCCATTTGGGTCAATTGCTCACCAGCCTAGACCTCAGCTACAACTTCCTTTCAGGTCCCCTCCCCGTACAAGCACGACCCATAACCACATGCAATGCAGCACACAACTGTTTCACTCACATGGGCAGTTGTGACTCGGCCAAACGGAAGCGCAAGTCCGGTTGTGGGAAGGCAGTCTGCGGAAAGGACCGGCGGTACAAAAACTTCAAGTTCTTGGGGCTTTGCGGACGGTGGCGCGCTTGTGAGCCGAGGATGAGGTTTGCCGTAGCAGGGGGGACGTATGAAGAACTTGCGAAGAAGCCTCCTGGGATGGGTTGGAAGTGTGGCCCTTGCCCCAGAGGAACGTTGGAGCTCCGTGCAATGTGTGGTGAGTGGTTTTAGCATTGTGGGCTGTGAGGTTTGGGTTATGGCCATGGTGATAGCGAGTTAGGTTTTATTGTTTCTTGGAAAGGACACATTTTCCACATTAATGTTTTTCCCCTGCGAAATTTCGATTCCTTGAATGCAGTACCTTGCACCTCTCCTTCTTGGGGTTGTCACAAGGCATGGAACGCGAGGAGCTCTTGCGTGTCATAAATATCATTCAGTATCGATTGATTGTGATTTTGGAGTCAGAACGGATATGCGAGCAAGATTTATGTGTGAGTTTCTGTAAAATATTATGGCTAATGCAGTGCTTTCTGATGTTAGCATATTTTCATTATGAAAAAGGTGTGTTGTAACAATATCTGGGTTTTGTGCATAGCATATGGAGCTGCAGAAGTGGGAAGGAAGTGTTGATGTACCACCCAAGTGCTGATGTCCAATAATGCGGACATGCAACGTTCAGCACCTTGAGCGGGAGGGGAGCGCTGGTTGGACCGTCAAAGGCCGTTGTGAATGCTGATTCTCCTGTGGTTTTGGCCGACCCGACACCGTCAAAATTATCCGTCCGTCAAAATTGGTACAATGCCCGCGAAATGCTTCGAGTCGCCAGCCGAAAAAAGGGAAAAGTGTTCGGCTCGAATTCGCGAACGAGACCGCCATCTAAAAAGAAAATGTCGCCAGCCGTTTGCGAAATTTATTGCGCGCGGTAGGGTTCAATTCATTCACCGAATTTCGCCCCCTCCTCCCCATCCCGCGTCGCGAATTTCAAGCTCGCAATGTTCAAATTCTCGACATTTCACCAGTCTTCTCATCACATTCAGAATTCGCTTCTCCACCAAAGCACAGCAGCAGCAGCAGCAGCAGCAACAGCAGCGCCGCCAAACCTACAAGCTCGCACCCACCTCGCGTGCATCACTCTTACTCATCGGCAAAAAATGGCTGCCTCAAGCATCTATCGGATCACTCTCGTGCTCCTAATCGGCCTCCTCTCCATATCCACCGCGTTCGCTGCAGAGGACCTCGCCCCGCATTTCGAGAACAAGCCTCGAAAAGGCCTCTTCAGAGTGAAGATCCGTCTCGGCGACAAGTCATCACACCCCATCCGCGGCTTGACGGAAAAGCCCTCCGCTGACGCGGTTCCGTCAACCTCCGCCCAATCGCAGCTCTCCTCGCTGCTTGCGTCGACCACCTCCGCCGTCAGACGCATTCTCCACGGCACGCAAATCGGCCACCACTCGCCCGCATCTGGCGCCGTATCCGCCGGCCGCCACCACAACTCCCGGCTCCTACAGGACCTCGCTAACACCCGCATCGCGACAACTCGCGCCAATGGCGGGCATCCCGCGGGCGTGGGGCACCACGGGGAGGAGAAGGGGCACCACGGGGAGGATGCGGGGCACCACGTCGCGGGGAAGGGCCACCACGGGATCGCAGTGGGGCACCACGGCGTGGGGAAGGGGCACCACGCGGTGGGGGAGAACGTGGGGAAGATGATCGGGCACCACCCCTTCGGAAAGGGCCACCACCTGAAGCCCGGCCAGCTGTGCCTCGGGAACCAATCGGTGTGCGACGTTTGGAAGGGCACCGCTGAGGGCTTCGACACCTGCTGCGGGTAAGAGGTTCCGAACTTCTTTTTAGAGGAGGGTTCTTTGCAAGGGCACACACCATCATGGGGGAATCGCTGCTTCAGCTAATGCCACTTACATTCTCCTCACCATCATCTCGACCTTTTTCGTCCTTGGATCCAACTCGTGTTCGCGACTTAATTACCTCTCGTTTTTTTCCCTTATATCCATCTTCTGTCCCTGCAGGCGTGCGTGCCGCAACGTGCTCTCCGACAACTTCCACTGCGGCTCGTGCATGACGCCGTGCAGTGGGTCGTCGCAGTGCTGCTCGGGCATCTGCACCGACACGCTCGCCGACGCCCAGAACTGCGGCGCCTGCGGCCAGCAATGCCTTGGCGGCGCCAAGTGCGTCGCTGGCGTGTGCGAAACGTACGGCGGCGCCGCGCCAACGGGCGCGGGAAGATAATATATGAGCGCCGGAGATGGGGATAGTGATGGTAGCGAAAAGTAACTGTAACGGGGGAGCCAGCGACCTGTGCGAGCTCCGCACAATAAAAGAAATGTAGATAGAATAGGAGGCAAGTATGTTAGGGCTAAAGTGCAAGGTCCCTTACATCTAATGGGACCATCCAATCTAATGAGCACAGAATAGATTTCTTATCGGGAAATCCCGTTCTACTGTACCCCAGAGATTACCAGGTTTTCATACTGAGCCTCACAAAAGTATCCACTGCTCATAAATGGTACTCCGCCTGATCTCCCTCCCACCGCTTTACCTTTCCTTCTTGTTGGGCTGAGAAAAGCTCTTAGGATCTTACAAGTGATTGATAAAGAAACAAGCATACAGCAATATATAGAAGATAAGAAAGCAGTTGTAGAATACAGTTGCAGGAGCGGTTACCATCCGCGATGTTGTAACGGTTAGTCGCAACCTCCAGTTGCGACCTTTCGAGTCCCTTCGCGTGCTTTGTCCGTCCCCTCGTGTAACCTCCGTTGACTCGCGTACCCGTTGCGATCTTCCTCGAGTGTAGTGTTACACTTCATAAACGCTTTAAGTCCTTTGAGATATTTCCAACACTCCCCTTCGTTTCTGGAGTGCTGACGTGTTCAGATCCGGTGACGTTTGTCTGCCCGGTCAGCAGCGTGCAGTAATCTAATTTTGCCTTCCCCAATTTCTTCGTCAGATAGTCTGCGGCCATTTCTGTCGTAGGGCAGTAACTGAGTTGAAGTCTCCCCTTCGCGATTTCATCTTTGACGAAAAAGTACCGCAGGGCAATGTGCTTGGTTCGGTTGGCGAAGCCGTCCTTGTTCGCGATTTTGATCGCAGATTGGTTGTCGCAGAGGAGTGAGAAGACGGGCAGGGTCGCAATCTTCGCTTCCTCTAGCAGCTCTCGTAGGTAGAGTCCTTCCTTGGTCGCAGTACAGAGGGCGATATATTCTGCTTTAGCCGAAGATAGTGCGATTAGTTCCTGCTTGCTCGACTGCCCGGAGATAGTCCCGATTGTTAAAATTATATAAGTTATAATTTAATAAAGGCTTGGTAGGTTGTTACTGAACCTTTCTGTAGGGGGTACAAACCCCTCCTTGTACTCCCCTCTCTTCCTAATCCAATCACCTTTCTTCTCGACATTCTCTCCCTTCCTAGATCCGTTTTCCTCACGCCATTCCATGGCGGCCTTCTTCCTAGTATCCTAGCCAACCTAGCCTCCTTAGTTTAAGAACCTTGAGTCCTAAGTTTCTAAGACCGATAGGTTCTAGTCGGTAGATGTAGCCCGTTCTCGATCGTCGATTTTCCTTGTCTCCCGCGTGGTCGGCGTCGACGTATCCGAGTAGTCGTACGGACGGTGTCGTTACTTTGCTGTAGGTGAGCCCGGTCGTCGGCGTGGAGACGAAGTAGAGTAGTGCCCGATTAAGTTCCTCGAGATCTTCTTGTTCCGGCTGCTTCAGATGCGTCGCCAGTTGGCTCGCGCTGTAAGAGAGATCGGGTCGGCAGGTTACTACTGCGAATAGTAGGCAGCCGAGCTTCTGCTGATACTCCTGGATTTGCTTCGCGGGGAGTTTTGCGGAGGTGCTGTTGTTGTTCCCGTAGCGGTAGGGAGTCGGGACCGTAGTCGGCGTTAGACCGAATTTCTTCGCGACAGTGCCTGCGTACTTTCCAGCGTGTAGGTAGAGCGCCGAGTTGTCTTCGACGACATTCAGTCCCAGGTACTGGGTCACTGCGTCGGACACCGTGAGTGTCAAGTCCTCTTTCAGCTCCCCTTCGAACCAGGTGGCGATGTCGGTAGTGGAACCGATGTAGAGCAGGTCGTCGACGTAAACGATGAGTAGGATATACTCTCTTCCCTTTTGCATTCGGTACATGCCTTGGTCATGCGGCAGCTGTAGGAATCCGATTTTTACGAGGCAACCGTGAAGATGCTGCTGCCAGAGCCGCGGGGCTTGCTTGATCCCGTATAGGGATTTTATCAGCTGGCATACTTTCGTGGGGTCGTCGATGAATCCGTGGGGTTGCTCGATGAAGATCTCAGCGTCCACAAGTGCGTACAGGAAGGCATTTGCGACGTCGATTTGGCGCAGTGGTAGTTTCTTCGTGACGGAGACCCATAGGCCGAGTATCTGCAGTCCCGTTGGTGTGTCTCGAGGGGAATTTTCATTCCCGGAATAGGCTGCTTCGTCGCCGTCTTCTGGATCAGGTAAGAAGTTTGGGCCGATGCGTTCTGAAACATTCGTGTCGACCGGGTGGGGTGTAACGTAACCTTGGTCAGCGAAGTGGTAAAAGGTGTCGAGGTTGTTGTTATCGAGAGGATGGTCTTCGTCGAGTGGAACAGGTACGGAACAGAAAGGGAGTGGTCCGGCAGCTTCCGAGGCTCCAGGTACGTCTTCTTCTGCTGCGTCAGCCTCGGCAGCACGGTCGGCGAAGGAACGAAGGCCCACGAAGCCGTCGGTGGGGTCATGTGTGTTGGCAATGTTGTCCAGGTAATGCTGCAGCGTCAGTCGCTCGTAGAAGATAACATCACTTGATGCCACTGTAGTTTTGTCTTGTATGTCGAGGATTTTCCATGCGTGAAAATGTTGTGCGATGCCGAGGTGTAGCCCCCATCGTGCTCGCTGGGTGAAACGTCCTGCTCTGGCTGTGTGGGGTCTGTACTGTACCATGCAACCGAAAACTCGAAGTAATTTTGTGCTGCCCCGTTTTCGTGTCCATAGCAGGTGCGGTGATGCGTTGTTGGGAAGTGATGACGAGGACAACAGGTTGTGCAGGTGGACTGCATGTGTCATCGCGTCTGGCCACAGTGTGGTGGGCAGTCTCATTCCCAGGAGCAGCTTCCGCATCGTCGTCTGCAAGGTCCGGTTCATGCGTTCTGCGACCCCTTGCTGCTGGTGAGCGTAGGGCAGAGACACCAGGCGTCTGATTCCCCTCTCCGCCAGATAGGTCCTGAAGCGTTGTGACTGGTATTCCAGTGCACCGTCTGACTGGAAGCTTTTGAGCTTTGTTCCTGATTCTCGTTCAGCGATGGGTAGCCATGTCGTGAAGGCGTCGAAGGCTTGATCGCGCGTCTTGAGGTTGTAGTGCCAGACGTATCTTGTTGCTGCGTCGATAAACGTGATGACATAGTTGAAGTCGGCTTCAGTGTCTTCTCGAGGCATGTTTAAAATGTCGCTGTAGACTTTTTCCATCGGTGCGTATGCGGGTGCGCTTGGGTTGTGATGAGATGTAAAAGGTTGGTGAGGAAGATCCGCTTCGGGGCACGTAAAGCACCGTGCGCGTGGTCGTCGAAGTTCTTGGCCGCTCGTTGTTAGGAGGGCGTTGCGTTCTAACATTTCGGCTTGGATGGTTTGCAGTATTGTACTGTTTGCAGGGTGCCCGAGTCGTTGGTGCCAGATGTCGTCGGGAGCGCGATGGCCGGGCGAGCGGTGGTATACACTGACGGAAAGAATTGTCCACATGTTTGGCAATTTTTTGAATTTGCACCGTTAAAGGGCATTTGAACATTAAGCCTTAATTGGAGGCATTACCCACTATATGCAGGCCAATCTAGGGAGACATTAAAATGCTACACATTTGATGAAACTACTATCGTTAACAGTAAACAGCAAACATAACCAAACACGGTGCATGTGGACAATTATTTCCAGGCGGAAGCAGCAACTTGAAAAACCCTTAAACTAGTACCTGGTCCACCGCCCTTTAGCCCTAATCACTGCTTTCACCCTCCTGGGCATGCTGTCGATCAAATTGGAGCACACCTCTGATGGGATCTTCTCCCACTCCTCTTGTACACGCTCCCACAGGTCCACCATACCAGTGGGAGGTGTCTCATGCTTTCCCAGCTCCCTTTTAAGATGAGCCCACAGATGCTCAATGGGGTTCAGATCAGGACTTCCTGCCGGCCACTCCAGGACCCCATACTCCTGCTCCTGAAGCCACTGCTGCACCACACGGGACTTATGCTTGGGGTCGTTATCATGCTGGAAGATCACAGCCGAGGGGGTTAGCTTGTAAAAGTCGATGGTTTTTTTCAGCTCGTCTTGCAAAATGCTCAGATACAGCGGCCCGTCCATCCGACCATCGATTTTGCACATGAAACCCGCCCCCTCAAACGTCATACATCCCCAGATCATCAAGCCGCCGCCCCCGTGTTTGACGGTTTGCTTGATATGGTGGTGTTGGAGAGTCGTACCTTCACGAACCCAGGCGTACGCGCGGCCGTCAGAGCCGAACCTACTAATCCTCGTCTCATCCGACCATATGACCCGTCGCCAATCATCTATGGTCCAATCCGCGTGGGCCCGTGCGAACGCCAGCCTATCGCGGATATTTTTCTTGGTGAGTCGCGGCTTCTTAGGCTGCTGAACTGCGATAAGGCCGCTGGATTTGAGCGCATTACGCACCGTCCTAGGATGCACCGTGATGCCGTGCTGGGATTCGACGATTTGGGCCGCATGCCTCGAGGTTTTCGCCTCGCCGCTAGTGATCGCCCTGACGATCCCACGACGAATTCTACTCGACAGTACGCGTGGACGACCAGCAGTGGGCATTGTAGGACGTACGTCCTCGGGACTAGTCTCTGAAATCGCCTTGAGCCCAACATCATGCACTGTACTTTTCCCAACGCCAACCTGTTTCGCGATTTGCCTTGTGCTGAACCCCCTACGCAACAGGGCCACGATCCGGGCGCGACGAGCCTCATCTATCGGTCTCATCTTGGCGTAGTCTACGCCTCGGGTATAAACTTTATTCTGACTACTCGACGATTGCGTTAGGAACTATGGAGAGAATGCTCTAGTCGAAAACGGATCTAGTCCGCTGCTTGGCCAAAACTGTCCGGATGCACTCATGCGACTGAAATCTTGGCCACGCTATTAGTGCGACCCATTCAGGTTGCAAACGTGTTACCCTATTGTAACTGGCACGCGTAACTTATTAGTCAGCAATGAACATTCAACGATACATCGGGTGAAAGCATTCAAATCATGTGTTGAACCTAAAATTGGACTTTATCCGGGCAATACTTTCCGTCGCTGTATGTCGGTGTTGGAGAAGAACGCGACGACCGTGGCGGGACTCGGACAGACTTCTCGTGTGATGGGCATAAGTTGATCTGCTTCGGTTGGCGGTCCTCGGATTGCTGGTGGTGGTACTCGGCTGGGTCCTGCTGCTGCTACTGCAGGTGATGGTTGGGAAGGGACATTTGCTGGTACTTGTCTTTCTTGTCTAATGACTGCTAATGCTCGTGTTCTTTCTGCTGCAGGTATGGTGTTGGAGTACCAGAATCCATCAGGGTCGAAGTCGGGGTCAAGATCCGGCGGGTGTGTCCAAGCGGCGAACGACACGATTCCGTCGCTGTCGGCAGTACCGCGTTCGGGGACGAAGTCCAACACGAAGACGCCGGACTTCAGGAGAGCACGACCGATGAAGAGACCGCCCTTCCCGTGATAAAGGCGAAACTCGTTGGAGTAGGAGTCGCACTCCAGGTGAATCCCTTTTGCCATCAGCTGGCTGACGCTTAGTAAGTTGTATCCCAAGTTGTCGACGATGAGGACCTTGTTGAGTTGAAGTATAACGTTTGTCTCCATGGATTGTAACTGAACCACTCCTTGTCTGTTTGTTTTCAGGTTTTCGTTGTTGGCGACGGTGATGATGACGTCGCGGGTGAGGCGTCGCTCTCGTTGCACGAAGCGTCCGGAAGAACACATGTGTTGACCGCAGCAGCTGTCCAAGAACCAGGTGTTTCGCCCGGTGGGTTCGGCGTTGGCGACCGCAGCGTATGTCGGGTTGACCTCAAGTCCTTGTGAGCGCGGCGGCGGAAGTTCTTCTTTGTCTATGTGTACCATGCAGTTGATGATGTTCGGTGTCCCTTGTGCAGATGTGGAAGAGCGCCTTGGAGGGCTTTCTTGAGTGGAGGCAGCGTGTGGGTCTACTGGACGATAAACACGAGGACGTGTGCAGTTGACTTTGGAATGTCCGGAGGTCTGACAGTTGTGGCAGAACGGTGGCACGAAGGTGAGTCCTTTGTTGTCGCGTTGATCTTGTTTGCCGCGTCGATTGTAGTTGTTGTCGTTCCTTCGTTGAGTGTAGAAAACTAACGGCTGCTGCTTCCTTGGTTGTCTTTCTTCGAACAGGTCCATCTCCTGTTGTTCAGCGTGAAGCTCAGCGCAGAGGTGCATCTCCAATATCCTTCCGTGGGCGCGAAGAAGCGAGCGTGTGGTTCTCCATTCTGGCCCGAGCCCGGCGAGGACAAGCGTCACGAAGCTTTCTTCAGTGATTGTTCCTCGACACCGAAGCAGGCGGTCGCGGAGGGTCTGGCAGCGATTCATATACTGCATCGCCTTTTCCCCGGTCTTCATCTGTATTGTTGTCAGTTGTTGCATGAGTCTGCTTTGTGTCACGCTGTCGTTTGCTTGATAGAGACACTTGAGATGATGCCATGCGAGTTCCGCGGAGTTTCCATAGCTGCGATATGTTTTGATGCTCTGCTGTTCTTGTGGTGACAGGTTCCGCAGGAGAACTGTGTACGCCAGCAGCGACTGATAAGTAAATATTTCATGCTCCTTTGCAGTGCCGTTGCTTGGGAATGGCAGGGACCCGTTGAAGTATCCCAAGAGATGCGCAGCCCCCATCAGCAGCTCGAACTCAAAGCTCCAGGTAAAGAAATCGTGTCCGTTGAATGGTGAGGATGTCTGCAGTTTAATCACGTGTGAAAACTGCGCCTGGAGACTCAAAATCTCGTTTGGTGTTTGTTGTGATGCAGCTGCTGTTGGTTGGGCACGGGGTGGCATGAACTCGAATGTCCCCAGGGAAGAGTGATAAGGCGCAAAGATAGGGGCTTGATTGTGTCGCCCGAACGATGAGTTGTCGAGGCTCATTGGCGCTAATCCCATGTTCCCTCCGTTGCTTTGTGTTGAATGCGCAGGTGTCCCCATCTGCTGCTGCTCGAAGTGCGACATGAAGCTGAAGAACCTTTCCATAAGGTTCGGATCCACGCTTGAAGAGGGTGATGGGGTCACCATTTCCGGTGTTCTTCCTGTTGTTTCTTGAGCAGCGCCGGTCTCGGTTTGCAGTCCTGAAGTATGCAATCCAGAGTTGCCGGGTTGAATGTCTTGGGCGCTGGGTGAGCCCGTAGAGATTTTCTTGCCCTTGCTGTCCATGACTTGTGATCAATGAAGTCGTTGAATTGCAGATTGTAGATAGAGCGTAGTTGCTGAGAGTTTGGTCTCTGACCAGCTCTGATACCATGTTGGGCTGAGAAAAGCCCTTAGGATCTTTCCAGAGACTAGGTCCCAGTTGAAGAATGAGACTTGAGTAGTGCAGTGGAAGTTGAGTAGTTGAACCCTTGTACTGGTATATGAGAACAAGTGATTGATAAAGAAACAAGCATACAGCAATATATAGAAGATAAAAAAGCAGTTGTAGAATACAGTTGCAGGAGCGGTTATCGAATCGCACAGCGACTCGATTGTCGCTTCGGTTACCATTCGCGATGTTGTAACGGTCAGTCGCAACCTCCAGTTGCGACCTTTCGAGTCCCTTCGCGTTCTTTGTCCGTCCCCTCGTGTAACCTCGGTTGACTCGCGTACCCGTTGCGATCTTCCTCGAGTGTAGTGTTACACTTCAGAAACGCTTAAGTCCTTTGAGATATTTCCAACACTTCTCTCTACCGCTCCCTCTCCCTACCGCCCCTCAGTTGTATCCCCTCTCCCTATCGCCCCTCAGTTATATCCGTACACATATTCAAACTTTGAGACACAAAGGAGCATTTGTGTAAGGAAGTAGTAATTCCTTACTGAGGCGCACTGCTAGCGGGTACACCAGATGTACACGGCACTGGGCTAGGCCCTAGTTCCGTCACCATACACGCTACGCCGAACCATACCGCATCGTTCCGAAGCGCTCCGCGTCCTCGGATGCCTTTTCCGAACGTGTGCATCACGTTCTGGCATTCCTATACCAGCCTCGTCATTCATTGTAGGGACAATCGGTGAATCTGGAATTATGTCATCTTGATATTGACTTCCGCGCTACTCTGGGTTTACACCCATAGCAATTTGCATCCCATCATTTTTCCAAGACCCATTTGCTACAGGCTGCCCATGCGATGCTCATGACATCAGTACAGTGTTGTGTACAGTGAAAAGCATTTTGCATATGCTAGGATTTCTTAGATGTGTACAAGAGCAGTTTTTTTTTTGCTTCGGAAGTTGATGGTTAATTGCTGAAGTAGTATGAGAAGGTTGTGCCCAAGCACAACAGCTTCAACATTTTCATCCGTTGTCTAAGATATGGAGCACTCCTTTTGTTTTTGAAGATCACAAACAGTGCGGTGTACAAATTTTCCAGATAAATCGAAACCGAGATTTCATTGCCAATTTCCTTTTCTCTGTTTGCGGGGCCACCTTCTGACATCGCATCACCTGTGGCGAAACAGATTCCAGGGTGAGCGACATTCGCGAAAAAAAACGGTTACCGCTTAACCCTTTTTCCCGCCGTTTCTGACAGCATTTCTGAGGTTGCTTGCTGGCATTTCCGAGGTTGCTCTTGATTTCTGGCGGGCAGCATACCTTATCCACCCTCGCGTGCCTCACACGCTAGCAGAACTGTCATGAGCTTCTGAATACATCTCCAATCGGCAGTAAAGCTTCTTGGCGAGGCGAATTCACGAGATTCTTCTACAAGAAGCTATATTGGTGCTCGCCTGATCGCCGCTGTCCTCCTTTTTCTTCTCAACAGGCCCAGTCTGCCGCGGAGAGTTTACGACTCTTTAAATATCCCCTTGCTTGTTTCTGGTCCAGCCTCGTTTTTTTATTGAGGCGGACTGATATTTTTTCCCGTGCATCTGGTTTCTGTGGTACTGCGCTTTATACGTCTCGAATTCGGGATACACAGGCTTAACCTCTTACTAGGCATCCTAGATCTAGGATCCTTTCGTCGCATCGTCGGTAAGATCGGCGATCCAGGGATCTAGTTATCGTTAACCGTTTTAGAGAACACCTGTGCTGAAATGGACGGCGGTCAGGGTGAGGGAACCGGGCGCGGCGGAAGGGGAAGGGGCGGTCGGGGGAGATTTGGCGGATCTGGCGGAAGGAGCGGGGGATTTGGGGGAAGGAGAGGGGGATTTGGACGGGGGCGGGGGGGGGAGGGAGGCGCGGGGAGAGGCAGGGGAGGTGCCGGGGGAGGTCAGGCCGGGGAGATGGGCAAAGCGATGGGAACCCCTGCTTCAGTTGCTTCAGGTGCTACGGATACTAAAACGGGGATCGCGGCATCAGCTGTTACTGCTGACGCTGATTCGGCGATAAGTCGTGCGTCAGCTGCGTCTTTAATCGCAACAACAAAAAGAGTGGTGGTGGTTACCTCTGGAGTAACCCCTTCTCTTTTAAAGCCGAGTTTAGCTGGTTCGATGCTAGCAGATCCGAAAGTTGCAGATGCGGCTGAGTCGTCAGCGACACAGGCGGAAACAGGGGTAGTTGCGGACGAGGCTATGGGGAAGAGCAAGAAAAAGAAGAACAAGAAGAAAAAGAGCAAGGAGCCAGTAGAGGAAGGAGCCGGAGCTGGAGAGGAAGCTTCGGATGAAGTTGTGCCGCGGATTCCGTCAAAACCAGAGACAATTCCGTCAGTATCAGAGCCGAGTCCGTCAGAACCTGAGCTGATTCCGTCAAATTCAGGACCAGTGCTGGTTGGCGGATCCGATTCAGTGACGCGCGCGGGGGAAGGGCAAAGCGGGGCGGAGGGGGCGGGAAAGAAGAAGAAACAGAAGAAGAAGAAGGAGAACCGGAAGCAGGAAGGAGCGGGCGAAAACGAAGCAAGTGCTTTTTCAGGCACGGGCGACAGAGATGCGAATCGAATCGTCCAAGGTGCCTTGAATCCAGCATCTATGGTTGTGGAAGGAGGCTCGGCGGAGCATAACGGTCTGGATGCGAGCAACCGTGGCGCAGATCGGTCTGCTCGTGCTTTTACCGGGGGTGGCAGTAACGTGGACGGGAGAAAGGAGAAGGGTTTTAGGGGGATTTTCGCCCACCACGCGCCGCTTGAAGATGCGAAGCAGAGGATTCTGGTAAGCTTTATCGGTTCCACGTTTACGCTCTCTTTTTTGTAGAGTGGTGTACACGCGCTCTTAGTACCTCTTCCTGATCCCCCTTTCCCCGCCCCCCCCCCTTCCCCCCTCCCCCTTCTCCCCCCCACCCCTTCAATTTCGGGGTCTTACGGCATGTCTCTTCCTTTCTCACGCAGGATGGCACCCTCTTTGCTGGGTCATTCAGGGTCAACGCTCGAAATCGTTACGAGTCGTTTGTGACTATAGAGGGAGTTCCTCGAGACGTTTTTGTTTACGGTCTGAAGGCACAGAATCGAGCGGTAGGTTTTTTCCGTTGTTATATGCTCTCGCGAGCCTTGTGTCAATTTCGTTAGACCCACTGTTTCTTTACAATTGGGCCTCATTCTCTCACTGTACATGACCCTTTGGAGCTCGAAAGTGGCCGTTGCTTTTCGTTCTGTATTTCTCTATTTATTTATTTCTTTATTTCTCTTTCTTCTGCTTTTTGCTGTGTGAGAAAGGCTAATTCCAATATATGAACACATGTTTCTACTTCACGAGTGCAGATTGAAGGTGACACAGTCGCGGTTGAGGTGGATCCTCCCTCTTTGGACCCTATGGATCCACAGCCAGGCAGAGACACTCCTGAGGAAGGGAGCAGCGTTGCAAATGCTGCCCTCGCACTTAGCATTGGATCGGCATCCGGAGCTGGGGAGGGGAGGATGGAGGGGGGAAAGAAGGCGGCAGTGGAGAGGTTAGCGCGGGCAGTGCGGGCGAACCCGGATATGCGGCTGACGGGGCGCGTGGTGGCGATCGTTCATTGGTCGGCGCGGCGAGAGACGGTAGTGGGGCGACTGGAGCTGCTGCCGTCCGCATGGCAGCAGATGGAGCAGGAGAGGCGGAGGCGAGGGGCGGTGGAGCGGAAGAGGAAACTGTGGGAGAAGCAGCAGCAGAAAAAGCAGCAGAAGCAGCAGCAGCAGCAACAACAGGAGCAGAAGCAGCAGGGGGAGCAGCTTCTGCAGCAGCAGCAGCAGCAGGAGCCTAAGGAGGGCGAGGTCAAGGTTTATGAGGGCAGGGAACAGGAGGTGGGGAAGGAGAATGGGGCTTATAGCGGTGGAGATGTGATTGAAGAGGGGGATCTGATAGAAGAGGGGGAGGTGACAGAAGAGGGGGAGGTGCTAGAAGAGGGGGAGGTGCTAGAAGAGGGGGGCGTGATAGAGGAAGAGGGTGAGGTGGCAGAGTATGAGAACACTGGTTTGATGGAACATCTTAGTTCTGCTTCTGGTGTTGTTACATCTGCCGAAGCGACAGATGCTGCTTCTCCTGCTGCTGCTCCTGTTGCTGATGCTGCTCGTGGCGCTGGTGGTGCTGGTGGTGCTGGCAGCAGTGACAGTAACGAAGTAGGCACAGTAAGTGCAGAGAACGAATCAGAAATGGAGATTCCAAGTTTTGCAGACTTCGGTATAGTCACATTCACCCCAGTGGATCCGCGTTTCCCCCGCATGCTGGTGCGCATTAGCACTCTACCCCAAGAGATTAAATACCTCGTCCTAGCAGCAGCAGCAGCAGCCGCAGCTGTACCTGAGGCTTCTCAGAGTGCTAGTACCAGAAGAGCCACTAAGGACAGCCTCGCTATAAGAGAAGGAGTTGTTACTGCTGCTGACTCAGGTCACGGGAATGTGACTAGTGGGACTGTAGCTGTAGCAGATCCAACTGTAGCAGGTGCGGCTGCAGCAGAAGCGGCTGTAGCGGCATCAGTAGCAGCAGCAGACGAGGCAGGCACGGCTGTAGCAGCAGCAGCAGCAGCATCCGCAGAGGTGGGCCAGATGCTCGTAGCAGCCAGGCTCGCGCGCTGGTCAGCAGGCCAGTTCCTGCCCCTCGGTATAGTCACACAGAGCCTGGGGCCGGCAGGGGACGCTGAGACTGAAACGAGGGCGATTCTGGCGCAGTATGGGATCCATGGGGCCGACTTCCCCCCGGAGGTGCTGGCTGAACTGCCCTGTGGGAGTGTGGTTGGTGGTGGTGGGGGCGGGAACAGGGGTGATAGTAGCAGGGGGGGTGATAGTAGCAGGGGGGGTGATAGTAGCAGGGGGGGTGATAGTAGCAGGGGGGGTGATAGTGGTGGGGGTGGTGATGGTGCGGTTGCCACCAGGTGCAGCAGCAGCAGCAGCGGCGCCAGTACTGGGTGGCAAATACCAGCAGAAGAGATAGCAGCTCGGAGGGACTTTAGGGACATGCGAGTGTTCACTATAGACCCGCCCACTGCCAGAGACCTGGACGACGCCCTGTCTATAAAGAGGATATTTGCGAGGGGCTCCAAGGGGAAGGGGAAGAAGGGGAAGGGGAAGGGGAAAGGGAAGGGGAAGGGGAAAGTAGAGGAAGCGTTAGGCAAAGCAGTGGGCGAAGGGGAGAAGGCGGAGGGGGAAGAGGAGGAGGAAGAGGAGGAGGGAGAGGAGGAGGAAGAGGAGGAGGAAGAGGGAGAGGAGCTGTATCAAGTCGGGGTGCACATTGCTGACGTGTCATACTTCATACCGCCCGGATCCGCTCTAGATCTCGAAGCTGCCCGGCGGTGCACCACAGTGTATCTAATCCAGCAGGCCATGCCGATGCTTCCCCGCCCGCTCTGCGAGGATCTTTGCTCGTTGCAACCCGGGGTCGACCGTTTGGCGTTTTCTGTGGTGTGGGATGTGACTGTAACGGGGGAGGTGCGCAGGCAGTGGGCGGGAAGGACCGTGATTCGTCCGTGCGTCCAGCTGGCGTACGGTCACGCGCAGGAGATTATCGATGGGCGGTTCGGGGGAGGGGAGGAGGTGACGGGGTGGGGGGGGGGGAGACGGGGGGAGGAGGGGTGGGGAAACTGGATGGGAGGGTGGACGAGGAGTGGAGGCCGGTGCTGTACGGTGGGTACAGGTGGCGGGACGTGATTGGGGACGTGCTGGCGCTGCACCGGATAGCGCAGAACTTGAGGAGAGCTCGAGAGGAGAGGGGCGCGCTGATGCAGCTGCAGACCACGAAGCTGCGGTTCTCGTTCGATGCGGAGGACAACGAGTTTGGTGATGGAGATCTGGGCATGGGCGGTATCAGCAGCAGCGGTGACAACGGCAGCGGCCACAATGGCAGCGGCCACAATGGCAGCAACATCATCAACGGCAGCGGCGGTGGCAGCGGTGGCAGTAACAGCAACAGCAGCAACAGGTGGAGTCCAGTGGCTGCAGCAGTGGCGGCGCCAACAGCGGCAGCGAATCATCTTGTAGAGGAGCTCATGCTGCTAGCCAACTCCACCGTGGCTCACATCATCTCCCGTGCCTTCCCCTCGCAGGTACCGTCCCACATAATTTGCTGTTCTTGCTGCCACGTGTTGCCACTTGCTGCCACTAGGCTGTGTCCAAATTTTTAGAGTTCTCAAAAACCTTACTCGCCTTCCCCTCGCAGGTACCGTCCCACATAATTTGCTGTTCTTGCTGCCACTTGCTGCCACTAGGCTGTGTCAAAAATTTTAGAGTTCTCAAAAACCTATCTCGCCTTCCCCCCCCTAGGTACCGTCCCACATAATTCGCTGTTCTTGCTGCCACTTTCCCACTCTCATGTCTGATTGCTCTTTGTAGCGCAAATTTGAGTTGACTTGAAAACATTTTAATGTCTGATGGCACCTATTAGAGGCGCTCATGCTCCCAGCCAACTCCACCGTTGCTCACATCATCTCCCGTGCCTTCCCCCCGCAGGCTCTTCTCAGGCGGCACCCGCCTCCCAACGCCAAGAAGATGGCCGATTTCCTGCGCTTCTGCTGCAACATGGGGGTGCTTTCGGCTGCGTTCTGTGGGAAATTGGTGGCGGAGTGCCCGGATTTGAAGCAGCTTATAGCGGGCACGGGAGGGGCGGTTGAAGATGGGGAGAGGGGTGGAGCCGGGGGCGGTGTGATTCCGTCGAGAGTTTTAAGTGAGATACTTAACGAGGTGAGCCGGGTGGTAGAAGACCCAGGGGAGAGAGCCCTGCTGCTGCTGATGGCAACCAAGCCCATGCAGCTAGCTCAGTATTTCTGCACTGGGCAATGGGGTTCCTCTGGTGTTGATGATGCTGCTGGTGGCGGCGGCGGTGGTGGTGGTGGTGATTGTAATGGTCATGCTGGCCTTATAGGCAGTGCTGCTGGAAACAGTAGAGGTGCACCTGGGGTAGGTGTACCTAAGGGCAGCAAGGGTGAAGCTAACGGCGCCATTGCAGCAGCAGCATCTGATGCTGAGTGGACGTCCCACTACGGGCTGGCTCTTGACTTCTACACTCATTTCACCTCGCCCATCCGCCGCTACGCTGACGTCATCGTGCACCGCCAGCTGGCGGCCGCGCTGGCGGCTGAGGAGAGGCTTATAGCGAGGATGGGGATGAAGAGTAGTGTGAGTTGGGGGGGCAGTGGATTGGGTGCAGGAGGAGGGGGGAGCGGGGGAGGGGGGACAGGAGGGGCAGGAGGGGCAGGTGGGGCAGGAGGGGCAGGTGGGGCAGGAGGGGCAGGAGGGGCAGGTGGGGCAGGAGGGGCAGGAGGGGCAGGAGGGGCAGGAGGGGCAGGAGGGGCAGGAGGGGCAGGAGGGGCAGGAGGGGCAGGAGGGAGAAACCAAGGAGAGAGTACCTCAAGTGATGCTGGGCTGCTGAGGAAGCTCACTGGAATAACGCCTGGAGGCAAGGTTCTCACTGCTGTGGGAGACCCCCTGGGGCTGCTGGCGGGGTGGGGGGGAGGAGGAGGAGGGGGGGAGGGGAGTGGAGAGGGGAGTGGGGAGTGGACTGGGGAAGTACCAGAGGAGGGAATGGGGGGAGGGCGGGGAGGAGGAGAGGGGAGAGGGAGAGGGAGAGGAGGAGGAAGTGGAAGAGGAGGAAGAGGAGAGAGAGGAGGGAGAGGAGGGAGAAGGGGAGGGAAGAGGAGGGGAGGACAAGGCAGAGGGGTTCAGAGTGAGGGAAAGAAGATATTGTTACACCAGGAGCTGGTAACCGCAGTCCGGCAGGAGTGCGAGTTGGTGCAGAAGGAACGAAGCATGCTGCCCGCCGACGCCATCGCTGACGTGGCGACGCGGTGCAATGAGAAGAAGCTTGCCGCCCGATACGCGCAAGAGGCGAGCGAGCGGCTGTTCCTGTGCCTGCTGCTGAAGCGGACCCAGGGGTGTCTCTCTAGAGCGTGGGTGACGGCCATCGGCCCGCGATACATGAACGTCTACATCGAGCGATTCGGGGTGAGTTGGGTGTGGTTGAGTGCGGTGGTGCTGTTAGGGGTGAGTTGAGGTATGCGCAGGAGGCGAGTGAGCGGCTGTTCCTGTGCCTGCTGCTCAAGAGGACCCATTGGTGCTTGTCCAGAGCATGGGTGACGGCTGTTGGACCACGATACATGAATGTCCACATTGAACGATTCGGGGTGAGTAAGCTTGAGTCGTTGGGTAGTGTTATAGCGGGATTGCATTTGCTGGACGGAATCACGCAGGAGGCGAGTGAGCGGCTGTTCCTGCGTCTGCTGCTGAAGCGGACCCAGGGGTGCCTCTCTAGAGCGTGGGTGACGGCCATCGGGCCTCGATACATGAATGTCTACATTGAGCGATTTGGGGTGAGTTGAGTGTGGTTGAGTGTGGTTGAGTGTGTCGGGAGGTGAGTGAGCGGCTGTTCCTGTGCCTGCTGCTGAAGCGTACACAGGGGTGTCTCTCTAGAGCGTGGGTGACGGCCATTGGGCCTCGCTACATGAATATCTACATCGAACCGTTTGGGGTGAGTTGAAATTTTGGTTGTTGCTGTTACGGGTGAGAGGCAATGCACACAGTAGGCGAGTGAGAGGCTCTTCCTGTGCCTCGTATTGAAGCGGACACAGGGGTGCCTCTCTAGAGCATGGGTGACGGCCATTGGACCGCGATACATGAATGTCTACAATACATGAATGTCTACAATACATGAATGTGCACGTCGAATGATTCGGGGTGAGTTGGGTTGAGTGTGGAGCGGGCCATGCGTGTCACTTCAACTTTGGTGTGTTCCTCCTGCGAGTTGGGGGTAGAGTTGAAATGGATGGCATCCATTCCCGCTCCACATGTAAGGCATGGGGGGAGAGAAAGGCAGACTCAAATCCTTTTGAGTCGACTCAAAAGTTGAAATCTCACTTACCTGCTCCACATGTAAGGCATGGAGGGAGAGAAAGGCAGACCCAAAACCACCTGCGAATGGTTTAACGCCGCTGTTGCTGTATTCACTGCGGTAACCCCTCTGGTGATTCTTTTCTCCCCTCTGTCCTTCCCATCTACCCATGCCCTTTACAGATGGAGCGTCCTATCCACTTCAACTCCATCCCCAACACCACCTGCGAATGGTGCGCCGCCACCAGTGCTGCCATCATCACCAGTAGCTCTGATTTCTTCTGGCTTTCTCTCCCATCGCCCCTTTACAGATGGAGCGCCCCGTCCACTTCAACTCCATCCCCAACACCACCTGCGAAAGGTGCGCCGCTACCAGCATGGGTATATCACCAGTAGCTCTTATTTCCTCTGCCTTTCTCTCCCATCGGCCCTTAACAGATGGAGCGCCTTATCCACTTCAACTCCATCCCCAACACCACCTGCGAGTGGTGCGCCGCCACTGGTGTTGTCATCATCAGTGCCAAGCCTCCTCCTTCCGAACCTAGTGGCAAGGCTTGGAACGGGAAGGCTGGGAAAGACAAGGCTCGGAATGGGAAGGTTGGGAATGTCACAGAGTGCAAGAAAGTTTCGGTAGCTGGTTTACCAGCAGATGATTTGGCCCATATGATTTCAGCATCAGCCTTGGAGCAGCAGGAAGGGCTTGAGGCGCCTCAAAGGCAAGACTTACCAGCTGATGATTCAGCAACAGATGATCTGGCAGCAGCGGATGATTTGACAGCGGATGATCTGGCTAACATGATCTCTGCACCAGCCTTGGAGCAGCAGGATGGTGAGGTGGAGGAAGGAGGGGCCACTGCTGAGGCAAGTGAAGTCACAGGAGGAGCCCTTTCGGCCCTCTCTGGGCTGGGAGCTGATGATCTTGCTCACAGTATCTCGCGTGACTTGCTCCAAGGAGAAGGCTTTACCGAGGGTGTTGGTGACTATAATGAGGATGACAGTATGATGTTTGTGGATGGAGGAATGGAAGCGGTGGCAGAAGCTGCAGCGGCGGCGGCAGCAGGAGGGGCGGGAGAGGGAGAAGGGGGAGTGGAGGGGGGAACAGTGCAGCCTGCAGTGTTGCCTTTGACTCTCCGCCTCATGGCTCAGGTCCCAGTGTTCGTGCACACCATGGGGGGTGGCAAGCAGCTGATGGATGTGGGAGCCCGTGTCTACATTGGCTGAAGTACGGCGTGGCTCAATGGCAGCGTGTAGTGTTGCCGCTGACTCTCCACCTCATGGCTCGGGTCCCAGTGTTCGTGCACAGGCAAGCAGTTTGTGGAAGTTGGTGCTTGAGGCTGCATTGGCTGAAGTACGGTGTAGCTCCATCGTTGCATGGACGTGAAGCTGGCGCAGATGGGAGTGAGTGGTGCAGCATGCATATCCCATGGTACTACCTGCCTTGTCAGATTCCTGTATATGCATATCCCATGGTACTACTCGCCTAGTCAGGTCCATGTCGGGGCTTGTGCTTGCATCACTTGAGCGACTAGGTTGAAGTGTTTGGGTGATCGCTCTCCATGTGAAAGCGTGAAGCGTACACCTTTGATGGTATCTTGGAACGGGTACTCCGATTAGAAAAGTACTTGGGTGATCTAAATGTGTGTGAAGTATTTTTTTTTTACAAGACCGTCTAGCTGCTGTAAGTGGGTATAGTGCAGTGTATTTGAGCGCGTACTAGGAAGTTTCCAGTTCGGACCTGTTCGTGGTACTGTACAGTACAAGTTGCACCCGACACTCGAGCATTGCTGCAGAGCAGTAATGACAGCGTGTTTAGTCGGTTGAAAACGTTTACGATGGTTTGGGATGGTTCCAATGCGGTACTAGACACGGAGATGAACAGAAGCATCACGCGGTGTGGCTGCACCAAGTGGATCCCTCGAGTCTTGCTCATCAATTCTTGTTTTGACAGTGTCAACTTATGTCACTTGCAGAAAGCGGCGAAAATTATTGCCCATTGTTGTGTTAGGGAGCACTGTTTTGCTGCTGTCCCGTCAGGGTCGGCTCACAATCAGTTTCGCTTCCTTGCCTGACTGACCTGACCCTTCCTCCGCCCCGCCCGACTGACTCCGCCAGGCCGGGGGGGCCAAGCCAGTCCGCCTGACTCCGTCCTCGATCTGTCTGTTCGACGAGCCCTGATTGACGACCTGGTTCCCCTCCCCCTCATCGAGCGAACTCTCTTCTGCCTAGGTTCCTCTGCTCTTTCCATTCCGCGCCATTTTCCGCCTGGCTATAGAACAGTACGCAAACCCTTCGAAACTTAGGGAAGTTCGGGCTGGTTGTGTTTTGAACTGTACCTACGAAATCCACTTGTTTTTCACCCGCAGGACAGAAGTCTCGCTTGTACTGTACTGTCTACTTGAAATGCTGCAAACGAAAAAGATTCCTCCACCAAATCTCGAGGTCTCCCGCCCCCTTCATCGGGCACTCCCCCCCGCCTAATCTGTCTTCCGCATCCCCCATGCGCCAACCCGCCTCCACCTTCTCCAGACACAGCAGATCTGAGTTCCTCCCTTCCTGGATTCTTCCTGCTCTGTGGTTGTGACTGCTTTTTTTTTCAAGAGCACCGCTTCCGAAACCGTGCTGAGCAAGCAATCAAGTGCAGTAGTGGAGATAAGCCGGCAGTGTTTTTTTAGTTTTTGACTTCGAGATCCATATTTTCGCGATCCAGAAGTTGAAGCAGCAGCGAGCTGCCAAGTGAGTTCACGTTCTTTTAAATGAAACTGATGGCAAAAAAATGTCGGTGTAACGGGTTCTTTTTGGGAAAAAGTCATTTACGGGCAGCATCTTGTTACGTCTATTCAGATATATTGAATTGCATGAGGCCCTCCAAGAAATTATATTGTTTTTCGCATGCATGTCATGGGTCCATTTTCCCTGTCAGTTACTTTTCTTCTTCTTGCATCTCCTTTCTCTGACGTTCCTCCTGCTGTGAACGTTTGTTCTTTTTTTGTGTGTGTAATTTTCCTCACATTCTCCCGCCGCTTCCCATGCTTCAGGATCCTGCAAATAAGAGAATTTTTTAATCTCTTGTACTATGAGGCGGGCTACTGAAGGAGCAGATCTACTTTGTGGTAATAATAAATTTCGCGGCTGATTAATCTCCTCAGCCGTATAATCCAGCAGACATTACGGAAGTCGGATAACTCCCGCGGCTGTGCGACATGTCGAGCGGAAAGCAGCGACTAGCCGAGGGGAACGACGAGGAGACCGGCAGGAAGGAGCGGCATCGGTCGCGGAGAGATAACGACGGCCATGGCGGGCCGACCCGTCCCCTCGCCGCTCTGATGTCGGCTGCTCCTCACGCGTCGTACGGACAAAGATCCCCTCATAGCAGCGACATGGGACAGAGGCCGCACCGGGATCCCCCCGCGCACCATGACAGTCATTCTCCTTCCCCCGTCGCTGATATCTGGGCCGTGTGCTCGAAACCTGGAGGTGGGTTGCCGACTCCTAGGGCCGTGGAGTCGCTTCTTTCTATCGTGCACGCCGACAAGAGCGACGGACGACGGAAGCTCGCGTCCGCTGACGCCGTCGCACGTCGTCGCGCAGTCGCTCTCGCAGTCGCAGCCACGGAGGAGGAGGCGTGCTTGTCGCATTTCATCGCGAAAGGGGGCCTCAAAACCCTAGACGAATGGCTCCAGGAGGCTCACAGGGGCAAGCACAGCCACGGAAACACCACCACCAGCGGCAGCGGCGGCGGGGGAACAGACACAGTCGACCAGACCGCGTTAGATGATCTCCTACTGGCGCTCCTCCGCGCGTTAGCGCGATTGCCGGTGGACCTAGAGGCACTTAAGAGCTGCGTGGTGGGGAAGTCCGTAAACCAGCTGCGGAGCCACCGCAACGCGGAGGTGCAGCGGCGCGCGAAACGGCTGGTGGAAGTGTGGAAGAGGCGCGTGGACGAGACGCTCGCGGAGAACATGGGGCGGAAGGGCGGAGCTGGCGCAGGGGGGAGCGCAGGGGGAGGGGGGACAGCAAGCGGAGGGACAGGGGGAACAGGGGGAGCAAAGGGAGCAGGAGCAAAAGAAGCAGGCGAAGGCTCAGCTGGTGCATCCCCCAGAGTAGTCACACCGACTATAGTCACACCTGTGGCCGCCTCACCTCTGCGACCTTCCGCTGGCTCCTCCCCTGTGAGTTCACCCACGGGGCTCACAGCAGGCTCGGGGCAGCTTCGGGCTGCCAAACCTAGTGGCTCGGCAGGCGAAGGGGGAGATCTGGGCGGAACGTCAGGGGCGGGAAAAGGGCGAGGGGGAGGCGGAGGGCGGGAAGGGGGGCGGCCTCCCCCTTCCCCGTTGTCCGTTCCTGGGGACAGCCCCAGGGGCAGGGGGGAATCGCAAGCGTCGCCTGGGTCTCTGGGCGGTGGTAACCAGAAGGGGCATGCGGAAGGGTTACAGCGAGCCGGTGGGAGTGGAGGCAGGGTGGTGAGTCCGCGAGGGGGAGGCTCAGCAAGCAAAGGCACAGGGAAGGAACGGGCGGAGGGAGGCGCTACTGGGGTAGGGGGAGAGCGGAAGGGTGATGCTGGGGAGGCGGAAGCGAGAGACGGGAGGAAGAGAGCGGAGAAGGAAGTGCCGGCTATGGGGGATGGAAGTAGAGAAGGAAGTGGAGGTGATGGGAAGAAAGAAGAATGCAAGGAGGCGGAGGAGGAGAGAATTGTGGAGGGAAACGCACACAAGTCAGAAACGGAGGGGAAGGAAGCCAAGGAAGTGGGATTGTTAAGCGAAGGAAGAGAGGGGCAAGAAGGCGTGAAAACAGGGAGGGAAGTAGAGAAGGGTGGGGATACGGGAACCAAGTCAGCAAAAGGGGCTGAGGAGGAGGAGGAGGAGGAGGAGGAGGAGGAGGAGGAGGAGGAGGAGGAGGGAGAGGGAGAGGGAGAGGGAGTTAAGGGTAGTCATGGGATTTCAAGTGCAGAAAGAACAGGTGAAAGAGTTGCTGTCCCAGGTGCTGGCGCAGGGGCTACTGCTGCGTCTGATGTAGCTGGTGCTGCTCCTGAGCCGTCTGATGCGCAAGGCAGGTTGGAGGGGCATGAGGGCGCGAGCAAACCGCAGGTAGAGGCTGTGCGTGTGAAGGAGGAGGAGGAGGAGAAGCGGAGGGAGAGGAGGGAGGGGAATGAGGGGAGGGAGGGAAAGGAGGGGAAGGAGGGAAAGGAGGGAAAGGAGGGGAAGGAGGGGAAGGAGGGGAAGGAGGGGAAGGAGGGGAAGGAGGGGAAGGAGAGAAAAGAGGATAAGGAAGGGAATGGGGGAAGCGAGGGGAAGGCTGGCAGCGGCTCACCAGCAGAGGCAGAAGCACCGCGGTTGGTTGAAGAGGGAAGGGCAAAGGACGGTGAAGGGGTGGGAGGGAGTAATGAAGAGAAGGAGGGTGGGGAGAAGGCTTGCTTGAAGGAGACGAGAGGTGATGCAGGACGGGAGGACGAGGCAGGGACAGCTGAAAACGTAGTTGCCGACACTCGTGTGGTGGAGGAGAGAGGCGCAACTCTGGCCTCTGCTGCCGCCGCGGCTGCTGCTGCTGCTGCTGCTGGCTCTCCTTTGGCCTCTGCGGCAAATTCTTTGGGCGCCGCTGCTGCAGGTGCTGCAGGTGCTGGTGCTGGTGCTGGTGCTGGTGCTGGTGCTGGTGCTGGTTCTGGTGCTGCTGGTGATGCTGCTGCTGCTACTGGGGGCGCTGAAGCAGCAGAGGGAGGAGACGCTGCGGCAGCAAACCGACTAGTGGTGAAGATTCCAGTACTCAAGAAGAGCCCTGCTAGTAGCCTAGCCACTGGGTTAGAGGGCTGTGCGGGCCTCAGCTCTCCCATGCGCAGCAGCAGTGATAAGGCGTCTAGTGGGAGTCGCAGGGAGGAGGAGGAGAAGGGGAGGAAGGTAAGGAAGGGGAAGCAGGAGGAGGAGGAGGGGGAGAGGAAGAGTGGGGTGGATGGGAAGGGGAGAGAGAAGAAAGGGGAGAGGGAGGGGGAGGGGCGTGAGGTGGAGAGGGAGAAGGAGCATAGTAGGAAGAGAGAGAGGGAGAAGGATAGGGAGAAGGGGAGGGAGAAGGATAGAGGGTCTAAGGAGAGGGATAGGGAGTCTAAGAGGAGCAAGCATAAGCATCGGGAGGGGAAGGAGGGGAAGAGAGACAAGGGGAAGGAGAGGAAAGAGAAGAAGGAGAAGGAGAGGGAGAGGGAGAGAGATAAGGAGAAGAAGGATAAGGATAGGGAGAGGGAGCATAGGAAGGAGAAGGAGAAGGAGAAGGAGAAGAAGAAGGAGGATAAGGAGAAGAAGGAGGAGGACGCAGGAGGGAAGGGGTCAGCTGCAAACAAAGACTCTGGAGAAGAAAGGAGGAGGGAAGAAGAAGAGGAAAGGACGGATAGGGAGGGGTCAAAGGCAGGGAGAGAGAGCAAGGGGCAGGGCGCGGAAGAGAGTGCTCCAGATGGGTTATTTGCGGGGAAAGCACGGATGGATACTGCAGCCGGAGGTGAGCTTCGGGGGTGTGGAGGAGAGGAGGAGAGCCGGCAGCAGCAAGGAGAGGTGATGAGAGAGGGTGAAGGTGAGGAGGGGGGGAGGGGGGGAGAAGGAAGAAGTGGTGTTGCAGCTGGTGGTGGTGGTGGTGGTGATGATGGTGGTGATGGGGAGGCAGGGCAGGGGTCAGCTGATATGGGCGGTGGGAGAAGGAGAGAGGAAGGTAGGCAACAGGGAGCAGAAGAAAAGACAGGGCCAGAGACAGGGACAGGGGCAGAGGCAGGAGCAAAGACAGGGACAGAAGGCGGGCCAGAGGCCGGGGCAGGGGCAGTGTCCGGGGCAGCATCGCGGGTTGGGGCAGGAGAGCGGGGGAGGGCGCAAGGGGAAGGGGGCGGGGAGGGAGTTGAGGGAGTCGCGGACCTGATGAGTTTCTTAGCTGAGGCTGCTGTGGCTGGGGCCCCGCTGAAGGAGGGTGCAGGGAGAGTGAAGGGCGATGGGAGGGGAGAGGATGGAGGGAGGAGGGGCGATGGTGGGAAGGAGAAGGAGTTCAACGGGAAGGGGTTGAAGCAGCAGCAGCAGCAGGAGGGGGAGCAAGCGCAGGAGCAGCAGCAGGAAGAGGGGGAGCAGCAAGCGCAGGAGCAGCAGCAGGAGGCAGCTGCAGGTGGCGATGAGAGGAGGTTGATAGTGCGCTTCTCTGTGACCAAGAGACCGAAAGGGGAGGAGGATGCAGCGGATGGGATTGGAACTGCTTCTGAGGGTAGAGTAGAGGGGCACCATGGCAGGCGGTTAGAGAGCAGGGAGGGGAGTCCTGGCAGCAGCAAGCGGGCTAGTGCGGATGATTCTGACGCGGCGCTGAAGCAGGCACATGCGGACCAGATGAGAGACAGGAATGCAGGGGAAGAGGCGGCATGCAAGGAACCTTCCTCGATGGAAGGTTCTGGGAATGGGCCTGCGGAGGTGCGCGGTCACGCTGGGTGGTTGGGACGAGAGGGCGAGAGAGAACGGGATGGAGTGAGAGAAGAAGATGGGGCGAGAGACAGGGCTAGCGATCCTGGGCTTCTAGGAGGAGGGTTGAAGGCTGATGCAGCGGTGCCAAGTGGTGGAGGGTTGGCAGGGCGGCAAGCTTCGGACTACCTGTCTCTGCCGCCCAGAAGAAGAGGGTCGGACAGCGACCGGCCCCGGGCGCCCACTGGCTCTAGTGAGTGTGTGCTGGGCCAGGTTTTTCTAATCATGGCGGGGAAATTCCGGTGGTTATTCTTTTCGCACTATATACAAAGTTTGCTGGCCCCTTTTGACCGTTTCTTTGCCCCCCCCCTTTTTTGTTTTCAGTTGCAGCTTTGGGGCTGAAACTTGTTATCACATTCTTCTTCGCCCCTCGCCCTGTCCTCTCCCTGCAGGCATAGTCACAAACGTATCCCCCCCCACCCCCTTCTCAACCGCTCCTTCCCGTCCCTGCAGGCATAGTCACGGGCAGGCGGTCAGCTGTGATTATTAAGGGCACGGTCATCCCCTCACCGCTCTCCCACCGCCCGGTCAAGAAAGTCAAGGCAGTCAAGATGGCTGCAGTCGCGTCTGTCATGGAAGCCTCTCGCCCCAGCACCCTCCCCCCCTCCCCCCCTTCCTCCACTCAAGACCCGCCTTTGAGGCGCCTCAAACCCAGCTCCCTCCCCTCCTCCCCCCCTCCCTGCTCCCACGACCCTTCCCGCCACCCCCCCACCGCCTCTCTCTCCTCCCCTCCTCTCGCCCCAGCCCCCTCCTCTCCGTTACTCTCTCGGATTCCCAAGGGGAGGCGCTCCCCTGTGCCGTGGTTGCCCCTGGGTGGGTCTAGAGGGCCGTCTCCTGCTGTTTCTGAAGGGGAGGGGGGGGAGGGAGAGAGGAGGAGTCCCAAGGGGTTGGGTGAGGTTGCAAGTAGGCCGAGAGGTGTGAGTGATGGTGGAAGTGGTGCACCTGCTGTCGCTGCTGCTGCGGGTTCAGCTGTTGCTGCTGCAGATGCTACTGCTTCTGGAGATGTAGCTGCTGCTGCTGCTGCTGGTGGGAGTGATGATGCTGATGTGGACAAATCAGGAGGTGCTTTTTCGCCAAAAGACAATCCCAAGGGGGCGAGAAGAGAGGTGTTGGATTCTCAAGGGACGGAGGGCGGGGGCAACTGCAGCAGTGCAGGTGCGGACGAGGATCTGCTGCCCACCGAGACTGCTACAGTACTGGCATCACTTATGAACGTGGCTAACACAGACAGGGCTGAACCGGGTGAGGTGCGGACTGGGGGAGGCACTGAGGGGGTTTTTGAGGGGGCTGGCAATGGCGGCAGAGAATTAGGGTTTGGAGGCTCTGGGCAGAAGAACATGGATGGGGAGTCAAGAGCGAGGGAAGAGGGAGGGGTGACGGGAGAGCGGGGAGAGGGGAAGGGCGAGGATGTGGGAGGGAGGAGTGAGGGGATGGCGGTAGGCGGTGAGGGCGCGGAGGAGGGGCCAAGTGCGGACCAGCTAGCCATTGAGTGCCTGCTGAAGGCTGCAGAGGCGAAGGACGAAGGGGATGGGGAGGATTCTGGCAGCCAGGATGGCAGAGGGAAGCTAGGGGCCATATCAGGGGCGGCAGCAGGGGCATCAGTAGATTCAGCAGGAGGCAAGGCAACAGCAGGAGCAGGAGCAGCAGATGTTGAGGCCGAGGAGGAGGAATTATCTGTAGCAGCGGTGCTGGCGTCTAGTGGCTGGCAGAACAAGGGGCGGCAAAACGGGCAGGTGCTCCCGAAATCGGGCTTCTTGGATGGCATTCCCACAGCGTCTGCTCTCGCCTCTGCTGCTGCAGCTGCTGCTGCTGCCAGCGCTGCCCTGCACGCGGCCTCCCTGTCTTCTGCCCCTCTCCCCCATGCTGCCGCCATGTCTGCCCCCTCTCTTGCTGCTGCCAGCGCTGCCCTGCATGCTGCCTCCCTGTCTTCTGCCCCTCTCCCCCATGCTACCGCCATGTCTGCCCCCTCTCTTGCTGCTGCCAGCGCTTCCCTGCATGCTGCCTCCCGGTCTTCTGCCCCTCTCCCCCATGCTGCCGCCATGTCTGCCCCCTCTCTTGCTGCTGCCAGCGCTGCCCTGCATGCGGCCTCCCTGTCTTCTGCCCCTATCCCCCACGCCACCCCCATGTCTGCCGCCTCTCTTGCTGCTGCCTCACAAAGTCCCTGGCGGGCTGCCCTTGCTGTGGAGATTGAGAGGGAGAAGAGCCAGGGTGCGTGGGTAGCAGGGGCAGAGACGGGGTTAGCTGGGGCCCATGCTGCTGCTGCTGTGGGGGGGGCAGGTGAGGGGAAGATTGGCGCGGGTTTGGCTGGAGGAGCGGGGAAAGGGGGGGGGGTAGATGGGGACAAGCAGGTGCGGATGCCTGTGGCTAAGCGGCTGAAGCTGTGCTCTGATGGGGATACTGAGAGTGTGGAGAGTGGGGGAGTGGGGGTGAAGAGGGGGAAAGGGAGTGCGAAGAAAAGGGAAGAGGGAGAGAGGAAGGCAGAGGGGGAGAGGAGGGAAGAGGGTGGGAAGGAAGAAGGGGGAGAGAAGAAGGAAGGGGGAGAGAAGAAGGAAGGGGGAGAGAAGAAGGAGGGGGGAGAGAAGCCGAAGGTGACTAGGAGGAGGACAGGAGCAGGGGCGGCTAAGGCAGGGCTAGATGGGACACATAGGGTGGGAGGAGGGGGGAAGCAGCGTGGGCTTGGTAAGCCCAAGGACGGGCCAGCAGCAGCAGCGCCAGCTGGGACAGCAGTAGCAGCCGCAGTAGCGGCGGCGGCGGCTGCGGCAGGGGTAGCAGCGGCGTCAGTAGCAGCAGCAGCAGCTGGTGCAGGGGCAGCAGCAGCAGCAGCAGCAGCAGCAACTGGGGCAGGGGCTGGTGGTGTTGGGTCGAAAGAGGAGAAGCAGGAGGGTGCAGGGGAGGCGGATGGAAAGGTCGCAATGCCGAAGAAGCAAGATAAGCTGGAGAAGCAGGAGAAGCAGGAGGATATTCCGCTGCGGCGGTTGCAGAAGCAGCAGGCAGCAGAAAAGAAGGAGGCCAAAGCTCGCCAGCAGCAGTTGAAGCAGCAGCAGCAGCAGCAGCAGGGGGCTTTGAGCAAACAGGAGGTGGGGGAGGAGGAAGGAGCACTGGCGCTTCAACGGCTGCAGCAGGTTATGCTGCAAGGCCAAGCAGGGCCTGCAAAGCATCAGCAGCAGCCGCCGCCCCAGTCAGTGTCACAC